CTTCTTCATCCTCCCAATGTATTTGAAAAAGGACTTTTTGTTATCCTTAATCTTGGACGCTAGTCCGAGCTCCATGTCCGCCTTGGCCTTCCTAACAGCTCGCCTACAGGCCCGAGCTGAGTAGGTATACTCCTCTTTGGAGATTTCACCCCCCTTCCACCGGGCGTACGCCGCCTTTTTGGCGAGCAGGCAGTCCCGGACGCCCTTGTTGAGCCAGGGGGGCTTACGGACACTCCTGCCCCCCTTGCTTCTTGTCGGGATGGACACCCCTTGGGCCGTGAGTATCGTTTCCTTAAGGAACGTCCACTCGTCCTGGACACCAAGTTCCTCTGCCCTCAAGGACCCCAGTGCCTCTCCCACTAATCTCCTCCTGGCTTGATTCAACCATGTCACAGAAAAACACAATAAAGCAGTCAACTGCCAGAATTACTGGACGGAGACGGATCACTCCTCTAACCCCAATGACTGGACGGTAATGAACCCAGGTTGCTATTATAACTGACAGCATAGAAGAAAGAATCACAGGTCCCTCCAGAGGTCATCGAGTCAATGACCAATGACTAACCCAGCCCAGACAAACGTGCATCTAACCTGCCCTTAACCTCCCAATGACGGAGATGGTTTTGGATAGGGATGATGGGGCTGGACTAGCTGACCTCCAGAGGCCCCTTCCAGTCCTACTTCTCTATGGGCATTTATACACGTGCTCTGGGAGTGGGGAGGGGTTGCTTTAATTAGAGTGGCTGCAAGAGCTGCTCTAATTAAAGCACCCAGAGCATCTCGTGTATTGGTGTCCCTGCACTTCAAAATGGCAGTGGGGGCACTTTAACTAAAATTTGTCAGTGTGCGGTCATTTCTCAGTGTGAGGCTGCTAATACATGAGACACTGGAGTCTGCTGGAGTGCATTAATTATCATGCTCCAGCAGTCTAGATTAATCGAGTCTGCTCCGACGCACTGTAATTACAGCCTGCCGAAGCAGCCTCACTGCACGTGTATACGGCCCTATGAATCTATGACTCCAGCCCCCTGCTAGGTGACCCGTTCCCACTGCTGAATCACCCTCAAAGTTGGAAAGATGAGACAGCCAGGCAGAAAAGGTGAAGATCAGAGCACCTGCACGTTGCCTGCCCCTCTAGGTCACTCTGCAGCCCAGGCATAATTTCTCCCTGACTGGTGTCATCTCCAGTGTGACCCTCTTGGCAAGCTTAGGGGGGTGGATAGAGAAGCTGACCTACTGAACCCTTGGGGAAACGTCTCTCCTGAGCTCAAACTTGGCCAAGTAAAACTTTACGGCCTTGCTCAGGACTATATGGGGGAGTAGATCCCCAGCAGGTCCCAGATAATTGTGTATGATGGAGCAATCCAACAGACCCTTGGTCTTTGCACAGCATGGCCCTTTGCAATTCACAGAGGGGGCAGAAGGTCTCAGCGTGGTGAGTTTTCAGCAAAGCTCAGTGGTTATGTCTCCTATACAACACCCAAGGTGCTCCTTTTTAAACCTGTGGCTCCATGGCCCCTCATGGCCTTTCCCCCTGCTTTGCTTGTTCCATGTGGTGCCATTAGCTGCAAGGGGTCAGGAGCAAATCCACTACTCAGGACCCTAATGAAGCCCTCTAGTGCATTTTAACAATCTAGCATGTCAGTGATGAATCCAGGAAGATATCCAGCCACGAAGACGTACAGGCAGTCAGATGCATGGTGAAACCTATGTGCATTTTCCTCTGATGGGCCATGCTGATTTTAAGTGAGGCACCAGGCAAGGGTTCAAGAGATCTAGGTTGTTCCCACCGCTGCCATAGACTTAAAATAAAACTGTGAGCCAGTCACCTCATCTCTCTGTGCCTTGGTTCCCTATCTGTAAAATGGAAATAATAGTCCTCCTTTTCCTCCCACCCCTTGTCTGTGAGCTGTCTGGGGCAGAGAATACCCCTTACCATGTATACAGCACTAGCGTAATGGGAAATTAGATCTTGTTGGGACTTCTACCATCGACTGTATTATAAATAACAGTGCTTCCTATCTCTTTGTTTTAACTAAAATTCTGCAAACTCCCACGTGGCCCTTACAAATTCCACCCAGCGCAGATCCAGCCACTGGGAAAACTGATGGCCCATTGCTCCAGCACCTTTAGTTGGTTTCTTTTCTCTACATGAAAGGAAACAACGCCATTTTGCCCATCAATGTTTTGAATGCACAACACTGCTGTTTGTCACACCCAGGTGTTCAACAGCTTTCGGCTCTACTGCTCCCCTCGGTGTCACAGCCTGCCCGAAAACCAGCTTGCGGACAACCAACGCCCTTCACCAGCAGTGCGGTCCCCTCCCGCAGCGCTCCACAGCAGTACGCCCATCTCAGCACTCACTTGAAACGGCGACGGCCCTGTTTTACCTTTTCTCCCCTGGGGCAGTAGCCTTTGAGGAAATCTGGGCACACTTCTGCTTTCCTGGACACGTAGACATGGCTGTAGGGACAGTTGCTGTTGTTGCAGATCCCCTTCAGGAAGTAGGAGCAAACCGGCATCTGGAAAGACAGGAGAAAGCTGTTACTCCCCTGTGCAAGTAAATCAGGAGCTGTTCCAACCCCCAGCCTGGAAATAACCGTGACACATAGAAAACAAAGAGATGCCTTCTTCCAGCCACTGCTCCCAGGAGGATTTTTAGACCTCCTAACAGGCTTCCAAGTGCTCAGCCCTGGTCCATATACAGAGGCACCACATGCCACCGGGGAGCTCGGCTGTCTGAGCCTCCTTCAAGCTACCTGCAAACAGGGTGGGATTAATGAAATTGCAACGGTGGCGAAAACGGCCTCTTTACAACACAGCCAAGGGATGGGGGAACTGCTAACGAAGTCACTGGTGGGGCTCTGTTGGCACTGGCTCCCTGTCAGACTGATCCTTCTGCACTACCATCAAGCTGCCAAATCTCCCGACTCACCTTGAACCGGAGAGAAGCAGGTTGCTGCTCTCCACAGGCTCTTGCTTTAAGCTTGCATTATGGCACAAGCCTTGCCATCAGGGGCTGAGCTGTTGTTTCCAAGGAGTACTGCGTCCAATGTTCCCTGAGGAGGGGACTTCAGCATCTGACAGCAAAACTTTAGAGTGATAGTTTGGTCCTACAGGCTGCTTCACAACCCGGAGGGTCGGGACCTGCCAAAGAGAATATCTACCTTTTGGATGACAGGAAAGTTGGGCTGAAAGGGACCTCAGCAAGGTCACATCTAGTCCAACTCCCTGCTCGCGGCAGAATCATGTCTGGCTAAACCAACCCAGTCCTTCCCACATTGAAAAGGGACGTGGGAAGAGGTGCTTGGCTAGAGAAGGAAAGATCTCATGAAGGAGATCCTGGGGTGCCAAACCTCTAGAGCCACTCTACCATGTGTTTAATGCTCCTTTCATTCAAACCCAAGCATCAGCATCTTGCCTTTTCCCTGGGTCGCTGACTGTGGGGGCAAACCCACTGGACTATATCAGCCAGGGTGCCCTGCTAGAGTAAGTATCTCTGTGCTGCAGGGAGCTACGGGTAAGGAAAAGTTAAAGCATCAGTCCGATTGCCTCTGCATGGCGCGCTCAGAGCCTGCCATGAGACACGAGGGTGTCAAACTGGTTGGATGCAGGCGCCACACATCAGCAGGCAGCTTGGGAGCATCCACGCACTGGCAGTCATCGCTCACGCTAGCTCCGTGATGCTGCAGCTGATGTGAAACTGGGAGCACGACCAAGGATCCTTATGGCCGTGCCTCAAGCCGCAAGCTTTACCTTCCGCCAGCTGCTATAATTAAAAACAAATTACCAGCCTGCTGCGATATCTCGCAGCTTTAACTCACCGGCTACTGCACGCAACTTCCCAAACTGACTCGCACGAGCCGGTTACAAATGGTGCTCGTGCCCGGCACAGAATTAAACTCTCCTTAGCCCCCTGGATCCCGGCCGATTCCCTGCCTGCAGCTGGTTGCATGCAGCTCTGAAGCTGCTGTTATGGTCCATTCGCTCTCCCCTCCCCGTGCTTGTTCTTCCTTCCTAATCCCCCTGCTGCTCACCTAAATGCAAAATTTACTTACTGCACGATGCAATATCGATCCCTCAGTTCACTGGTATCATCTTAGTCCTGCAGGTTCAAGTATCCCCAAACCAATATTTACAATACTGCAATAACCGCGGTCGACGTTATATGGAAAAGTCCCTTTCCCTGAAGGGCACATTAGGGTTTTAACTAAATTGGCTCACTTGAGTGAGAGAAACAGAGAGAGGGAGAGGGAGAGAGGGAAGGAGGGGGAGGGAGGAGGGAAAAAAGCAGAGGGGAAAGAAAACAAAGGGTGCTTTAAAAGAGAAGAGTTTATTTTTAATTGTCTTTTAACTGCAGACATTAACATAAAGGACAGGGCTCTAGGGCTATCTTTTTTGTTGGTGGTGGTGTGACCGTAAATGATTCCCTTAATGTAGTTTTTGATATAGAGCCCAAATTAGCTCTAATAAAAAGGGATAATAAAGCCAGCTCTTATACAAAAATAAACTCCTCCTAGCTGTCAAGCCTGAGCCATTATCAAGAGGAAGCCGCATTCTCATTTCAATTAACCTTGTTTGCACCCTACTACGTCCACACAAATAACAATAACATTAATTCAAGGCACTGGTGCGGTGCGTCCATATTAGACAGCTTTGAATATGTACACGCTTTGGAGCTGGCAGCTAATGAACCCGAAACTCAACGTGAATTTCCAAATTGCTCACAACAGAGTTTTGAAGCTCTATTAGGGAGAAAAATGCTGATTCTCTCCGAGCTCCTCAAGGGGAAAAGCTGTTGTAACAGCAGCATGCCTCTGCCCGAGTCCTAGCCTCTCGCTAACCTTCACTCGCAAACCCATTCATTCACATTTACAGTTTTCTCTAAATCACCAGGAAGAGGCAAGGGCTGCCTGCCCACTGCTCCATGGGGCCCCCCGCACACAAAAGTTAGGAAGCAGGGATTTCCAACTTGCTCTAGGCCGAGCGACTTTGTTTGGGATGCCTGCTCCTCTTCCCAGGGGCCACATCCTACAATCTACCCCCAGGACTGCCTTAGTCGCTGCCCCCGGGATGCCAGGTTTGTCTCTCACAGCAAACACAAGGCACCAAGGGCAAATTAAGTGGCTCTCCCTTGGCCTGCTCCAACCCGTGTGTCAGGGGGAACAACGACCTGGACATCCCCATGAATCAACCCCAGCCGGTGTCCTGCAAGCTAGGTGCAAAGAATGCGCTCGCCAGGCACCGTGGGACACAATGGGTTGGAGGGACTTGGGGTGGAGGCGAGTCAGACTTTGGGTGGAGAGCCCCGGCAGCGTGCACCAGAGAGGGGCTGTGCCCGGTGGTCTGCCTCGGCTCTGGTCCTGAAGCCTCGCCACAGAGCCAGGGATGGGTTTATCTGCACGGCGCCCTGAGGGCTCGGGCAACAGTCCCTGTTCAACGGAGCGGGAACCGGGCCCTGGGAGGAGGAATCAACTTGTGCAGGAAGCCTGTGACCAAGCCGGGAGCCGAACCCAGGTCTCTGCAATTCTAGTCCCATGTCCGAGGCATCAGACCAGTGGATCCCAGCCCTCTTAGACTCAGGGGCCCCTTCACAAAACCCCAGCTCTCTGCTTTGGATCTCATAGCACTCCAGGGTGCTGCAGTTTCCCAGCAGAGATTCACTGCACTAGACCACCCACATGTTGGGCCAACCCCCAAACAGGTTTCCAGCACCCTCAGACTGACGCGAGACACAGGATGTGCAAAAATGAGTTGTGGCTCCCCCCCAGAGCCCTGGACTGCTGCGTCCCAGGCCAAAAGAATCACAGAAAACGAGGGTTGAAGGTTGCTCAGGAGGTCACGTCTAGTCCAACCCCCTGCTCCAAGCAGGACCAGCCCCAGCCCCAGCCCCAGCCCCAGCCAAGGCTTTGTCTACCCAGGTCTTAAACACCTCCAAGGATAGAGACTGCACCACCTCTCTGGGTACCTGCTCCTGTGCTTTACTGCCCTCCTGGTGAGAGGGATTTTCCTGATATCCAACCTCAACTTCCCTTGCTGCAGCTTGAGCCCATTGCTCCTTGTCCTGTCGTCTGCCCCCACTGAGACCAGCCCAGCTCCATCCTCTTTGCAGCCCCCCTGCAGGGAGGTGAAGGCTGCTATTCAATCCCTCTCCGTCTTCTCTTCTCCAGACTCAATCAGCCCAGTTCCCTCGGCCTTTCCTCAACAGTCCTGTCCCCCAGCCCCACAGCCATTTTCATTGCCATCACGCTGCTTAGGGGCACTGTCAGGAATTTGGGAGAAAGCTGCCAGGGGGCTGAGAATTTTCTCTTAAGGTTTTAGTGGGTTTCTTTCCAATGTGCTCTCCGAGACACCGCACCAGCAGACAAACCACAGACACAGAGTGACTACTGTCTTGCCCGTGCCCTTCTTTGAGAGTAGAAACACCTAGGGAAAGATCACATTAAAAAACACCTTCGCATGAACAGCAAAAAAAAAAAAAAAAAA